TCTACGGTCAGTGCGTGTGTCCGGGAAAGACCTTTGTTTTATGGCGAGGAAGGGGGGATTGTGGGTGAGAAGGTGAGGGTTGAGAGAGGATGAGATGGTTGGGAGAGGGTAGGGATATGAGAGAGTCGAGAGCGGGAAAGTGGGTTGAGGGGTAAGAAGGGGAAGAGGGAGTGATGGGGTGGTGGGGGGTATGAAAATAGTACCTTGTAAAAGAGATGGTTTTTCCCAATCTCAAACCTGACAAATTCTGCCCTTCCCTTGCCCCCCTTTCGACCTCTCAGTACCACAGCTTCAGTAATGGACTACCGTGGTAGTTCTGTTTTAATTATTTGGTTTTTGTTTAAATCTGTTCCAATCGTTTTAATTTGTATGGTCTTATTTTTGGCGCTCATATGAACTTATGCAGTTGCGAGCGTCGTAAAATCTCTACTAAAACAATAGTCTTATTTTATTTTAAAGAAATCAATTTATTGCATACCCGGTAAGAAGATTGCATAGTTCCACCATATTTTTTATCCGTAATAAGCTCCAATAACCATTGTGTTTGAACCCCAATCTACAACATCATTGATAGGGTAAAATTATTCCTGACCATCCCGTGTTTGAACCCCAGCCCATTACATCATTGATCAGGTAAAATTATTCCTAACCATCCCGTGTTTGAACCCCAGCCCTTTACATCATTGATCAGGTTAAATTATTCCTAACCATCCCGTGTTGGAACCCCAGCCCATTACATCATTGATCAGGTAAAATTATTCCTAACCATCCCGTGTTTGAACCCCAGCCCATTACATTATTCATTGGATGAAATTATTCTCGGCTACCCCATGCTTGAACCCCTGCCTATTACATCATTGATCGGGTGAAATTATTCCTAACCATCCCATGCTTGAACCCCTGCCTATTACATCATTGATCGGGGTGAAATTATTCTTGGCTCTCCCCTGTTTGGACCCCAGCCCGTTACATCATTGGTTGTCTTGACCACTCAAGTGATGGGCAATATTCCCGGACAAATATAGACATGACAGCGCATGCGCTCTAAGTGACAAAGTGACAAAGCTAGGATGTCTCATGTCATATCTTGGTGGCTGTTTCCGTGTATCTGTCCACCTGACTGAACACACACACACACACACACACACACATATACACACATGCACACACACACACACACACACACACACACACACA